AGCGATAAATTAAAAACCTACACCTACGCCATTGATGTATCTATAGCCGCATTGTTTGACTTGTCTTTCTATAGACATCCATGTGTGTAACATACACCAAGATATGTTATATATAGTGAGTGTGAAATAGACACTCTTCAAGATACTGATCCAGTAGTGGCGAGGCGCTATCAGACTCTAATAGGAAGCCAAGCAAACGACTTGGTTTACAGAGCTTTGAATGTATTTGTCACACAAACAGTCCACTACTTTGTCTTCCACTACCTTGCAGGGACGCATCTTGTCCATGTCTGTATCCAAAATCTGAAGTAAGAGAACATATACTAATTGCCACTGGAAGCATGAAATCGTTCTTCACCTCGTTAATCAGCCGGTGTTCAGCTAAACTAATAGTAATCATGCACGCATCTTTGTGAATAAGAGCTCAAGACACGGTCGTCCATTGCTGGCTCAAATATTCAGTTAGATCATCCTCTCAAAGGCTGAAAGCTGGTCAGAATGTTGTCTCCTGCTATGAATTAGGAAGAGCCTGTTGCATAAATCTTAAGATTTTTCTGATTCATGATCATGACCAGTTGTTGATTGTTTAGGCACATGAATTCCTGACTGACCTTGTACGTTGTGACAGTGATTAAACCTATCACACAGTGATGATATGTTGAAACAAAGACCTGCATGTTGGGACATTGATTAACCCTATCTCACACTGAACGTCTGTTGACGCAAGACCTGCAAACTGGAACAATGATTAACCCTATATCACATTGAACATCTGTTGACATTAGACCTGCATGTTGGAACATTGATTAACCCTATCTCACACTGAACATCTGTTGACATAAGACTTGTATGTTTGGGACAAAGATTAACCCTATCTCACACTGAACATCTGTTGACATAAGACTTGTATGTTTGGAACAGTGATTAACCCTATCTCTCACTGAACATCTGTTGACATAAGACTTGTATGTTGGGCCAAAGATTAACCAACCCTATCTCTCACTGAACATCTGTTGACATAAGACTTGTATGTTGGGACAATGATTAACCCTATCTCTCACTGAACATCTGTTGACATAAGACCTGCATGTTGGGACATTGATTAACCCTATCTCTCACTGAACATCTGTTGACATAAGGCTTGTATGTTTGGAACAATGATTAACCCTATCTCACACTGAACATCTGTTGACATAAGACCTGCATTTTGGGACATTGATTAACCCTATCTCTCACTGAACATCTGTTGATATAAGACTTGTATGTTGGGACAGTGATTAACCCTATCTCACACTGAACATCTGTTGACATAAGACCTGCATGTTGGGACAATGATTAACCCTATCTCACGCTGAACGTCTCTTGATATAAGACTTGTATATTTTGGGACATTGATTAACCCTATCTCACACTGAACATTTGTTGACATAAGACTTGTATGTTTGGGACAATGATTAACCCTATCACACACTGAACATCTGTTGACATAAGACCTGCATGTTGGGACAATGATTAACCCTATCACACACTGAACATCTGTTGACATAAGACTTGTATATTGGGACATTGATTAACCCTATCTCACACTGAACATCTGTTGACATAAGACCTGCATGTTGGGACAATGATTAACCCTATCTCACAATGAATATCTGTTGACATAAGACCTGCATGTTGGGACATTGATTAACCCTATCTCACACTGAACATCTGTTGACATAAGACTTGTATGTTTGGGACATTGATTAACCCTATCTCACACTGAACATCTGTTGACATAAGACTTGTATATTGGGACATTGATTAACCCTATCTCACACTGAACATCTGTTGACATAAGACTTGAATGTTTGGGACATTGATTAACCCTATCTCACACTGAACATCTGTTGACATAAGACTTGTATATTGGGACATTGATTAACCCTATCTCACACTGAACATCTGTTGACATAAGACCTGCATGTTGGGACAATGATTAACCCTATCTCACACTGAACATCTGTTGACATAAGACCTGCATGTTGGGACATTGATTAACCCTATCTCACACTGAACATCTGTTGACATAAGACTTGTATATTGGGACATTGATTAACCCTATCTCACACTGAACATCTGTTGACATAAGACTTGTATGTTTGGGACAATGATTAACCCTATCTCACACTGAACATCTGTTGACATAAGACGTGTATGTTGGGACAATGATTAACCCTATCTCACATTGAACATCTGTTGACATAAGACCTGCATGTTGGAACAATGAGTAACCCTATCTCACACTGAACATCTGTTGGCATAAGACCTGCATGTTGGGATAATGATATAAAAGGATGGCGTGGGAGGAAAGCCAAACGTGGTGATGTTTACCACTTTGGTAAAATCCATGAGTACGGGTTTGGTGCTAACAAATTAAGAAACATATTGTTATAACAACATGCTTAACTTAATAACTTTACATTTTTGTTATATTTATGTTTATAAAGCTGATTAGATCAAGGCTATTGTTACTTATTTTTACTCCCCTTTTTTTACTTTTTTTTTATCATGACCGTTGATTGTAATTTGTGCCCATTCTTACTGGCTCCCATGGGGAAATACAATATTTACTATTCAAATGCAATCATTAAATAAATACATAGATGACACCTTTGATCACACATACGTTACGAGTAAAACATGAAGTGTCATTAAACATACACAATCGAACATTTAAGCTTACTGCAAGTTGCTATGGAGTCCAAATCTCATATACCACTGATGACCTTTATAAGATTAGGGACCGCCTCCGTGGTCTCGTGGTAGAGCGTCCGCCCTGAGAGCCGAAGAACATGGGTTATAGCAAAAGACGTTAAAAGATGGTACTTGTTGTTACCCTGTCTGGCGCCCGGCATTAAGGGGCTAAAACAAGGATTGTCCGAGTCAGAATCAGTTTACTGTGTCTGAGGGGGTATTCATGTTAAACTTCGGCATGGTATATTAGTGGGCAAGCACTTTCAAATCGGCATTAGTCTGGACAAATTTTAGCAGCCACACAGACGTGCATGCACGTAGCTAAAAGTGCAATCGTGGACCAGACGTTAAACCCTAATTCATCTCATCTATACGATTATTATCACTTTTTCGTCTGACAAATATATCCATGTCACAACGGAGCAACATTCATTAGTAACGTGTAATATACATGGACACTGATCACAAGCATGCCTGCAATACAAATGCAGTACACATTTTAGTAAACCTCACGCATATGGACACGTAGACGAACTCATCCCCGCGTATCAAGGAACTATTTGGTTTGTGCAAATCAAGGAAAGCCAAGCATTTAGCCTCAGTTTCTAAGGACAGCACGATAAATCGTAATTTCAATCCTATGTCATACGAGGGTCCAGAGCTTACCATCAATCTTGTGGTCAAGGATATTTTGGCATCAAGAAATCATCTTCAAGCCAGAAGTAATGGCGCCTGTGTCACGATCTTCCCTATGGACATATTCTATTCATCCCTGATGGTACACGAACAGTGTCTATTGATTCTGTGTCAACTCTTCGAATATGGTTGATAATGTTGTGACAACATGTCGCATGGTTCCAGACTCGACCAGAGTATAAAACAGCACTATTAATTATATTTAACAAGTGTGGGTGTAACCGCTGTATCAATGCAAAACCCATTTCCTTCGTCCTTGCGGTTTACACAAAGCTTAAAACGAACCTTCAAAACCGTACAATGAAACAGCGGAGCAGATGTGTTTAGCTCAGGACGTGTGAGCTGGTTGAGCCATGTCAGCGGCTATTTCAGTTACTGGCTTACGGACCAGCTCTGTTTAACATACTACATATACACCGAAGTAGTCTTGTCCTTAATTACAGCCATACATGGTTTATAACAGAATCATCTTTTCCCTTTTGATCAAATATTGAAACTTCCTAAGTTTCTCGAACCATGGATAACGCAAAAGCTACACGTTAAGGTGGCTTCAAAGGACATAAGTAAACAAGTCACATATAAAAGAACCAGTTAGATATATTTGAAGAGCAATCTTAAGCATTAATCAAATATAGAGAACCATGGATAACTCGAAGGCTACAAGTTAACGTGGTTTCAAAGTACATCATAAATCCACTCACATCTAACAGAACCAGATAGAAATATTGAAAGAACAAATTGAAGCATTAATCAAATATATAAACATATATAAACATTGGCTGTGAAATGTATTTGGTGACCATGAATTTCTCAGAGAAGGGCATACTATCAGCGTTTTTGACTCGCTCATAATGAGTACGTGTGAGTATTGATTAAGCAATTCAAACAAACCTTCTAGAATAGACACATTAATCAGCACAATCGCCTGAGTACATAGAGGCAACAATTTGCATAAAGGTAGTTCCTGTACTTGGAGGTTGATGATACCCATACGCTATCCTGAAAACAAACACTTCATCTTTGTAGCTTTAATTGCTTTGTAAAGGGTACTTGAAAGAGGGATCCTATGAGAACTCTATTACAGTTGACAAGGCCCTTGGGTTTTAACATGGCGCAACCTGAAGAGGAAAAATATGTATTTTCCTTCGTGTGCTTCATATAGGTAGTAGTAAGCCTAATGTCTAATACATTTATAGCTCTATTAAGTACAAACAACCTCTAATATGTCAAATGTAGGTTATATGGTTTAAGGCAAAACGACATGAATATTAATCGAGAAAACATTCATCTAAACATTTGATGGCGGCGTTTAATAGGATTATTCATTGTATTCAGAGTATTCAGTGCCCAGTCTTAATGCAATGCAGGGACTACAAGGGTTCCGCCCAACTTGAACAGTACCAAGCCACTTGAGAAATAGGCTCCATCAAATGTCGGGATAATACTATACAAGGTTCAACAACTGGTGTAAAATCAAAGCTTTACATATGCCCAATAAAACAAGCTTTGATTTCTTTCCAAACGAAAGTGCTGTAAGTACAACATTAGAATGACAAGTTGTTGCTTACCCTTCGGCGTGTCGCTAATGTCAGTTATTGACCTCTCGCTCGTTGTCAATCGCTTAAGATCACGGGAAGAAGCACACCTGAGTTCTTTAAGCAAGGAATCCACACTTAAAAAACAGAACCACAAGTCTCGAAAAGTCTGGTATTTTCTACACACTCTCTTGAGTCGTTTTCTCAGTCTGAAGAAGCTGTAACTAACTGCGGCTATAGAAGGGCCACTGACGGCACCGTTCAATACAACAAGACGTCGTAGCCCGATCGCTTAACTAGCGCCAGTGTCAATGATTGTGCGAGGCGAGGGATTGGGCCATCACTGGCTTCTCTCGTCCTCCATGCCTCTGTGCCGCTCCACACATACAGAAAGTGAAGGAAATTGGATTATTCTATACCCAAAGCTCGTTCAATGATATGTGGGACTGCTTTTTAGCAATGGATGAATTTCTAAATTACATCCACAGAGTATATCTGGCGCTTCTGAAGAGAGTGCTAAATGTGGAGCTTGGAAGCCGTTTGACTAACTTGTTGGTTGACTGACTAGGCTTGCTCCCCTGGGCCTAACTAAGACCTTTTCTGAACTCTGGTAATAGCATTTATCTCACTACTAATGTAACTAGTCCTAAACTTTGTGGTATACGTTGCTATGACTCCCAACAAAAGTTATGAAGTGTATATCCAAGCCTCAGACAAATCCCAGACAACAATAAGCAACTGTAAACCAGTGCTTGTTGAGGTGCTGTGTCTGAAAGATGCCTAATGAACAGAGACGCATATTGGCATTCCGGGAAGGGAGGACGGAGCACAATAATACCTTAACAATGGCTTGGATGGCCATTTATTTCCCAAATACAATACATGTGATAAATGCACTGGGCATTATTGATACAATGTGCAGCTATATTACTCGCCGAGTCTCGCTTGCTGCATGTGAAGCATATTTGCCTTTCAAATTCGGCCATTTGTCCCACATGAATGTATTGAACAGGGCTCTGCTGAAATAGTTCATGAATATTTTTCCCGCGAATACAAATAATAAGAGCAGATTTAAGTAATCATAGCCTGCATAAATACATAATAGTCCAACTTTGATGACTATGCTAAATGAGGGCCGAGGTAATATGTGCTTTGATATACATTTGTACATTGAACTTGTTGATTGACTGATGAAATGAAGTGAACCCGTGTCTCCAGTTCAGGGTGTAATTCACTCTTCGTCCTTGTATCATGCACTATTACTTCTATAGTGTGTTTTTTTGTAAATAACGTTTATAACTGTATTAACTTCATGCTTGTTCACTAAATCACTGACTTAGGTAAACATGGTATATCAATGTGAATGTTGGAGTGTTTAACTTTTATATGTAAACTACCCTGTGAACAGCCTATAGTTTGACTTTTCAAGAAGGCGTTTAATTCTCGTTGTTCGCATGAACACGACATTCACGGACGGCACAGTGGTCGAAGGCGCCGATATTCGCTACTTTCTCTAGGCGAGCAAGAATCCTATAATCGTGGGTTCGAATCCAACATTCGCCCTGATTTTTTATTCTAGGTTCGACAGCACCCCGTCGTGGGTTTCACCAAGATGGTAAGCGTCTGAGAGGAGCCTGCATCTTTTCGGGGTTTTCTTTAAAATGAATGTAAGATGACATACCGTGATGAAGCAAACTTCATGTTAAAGAAACGTTGAACTTAAGCCTCCCATTCATAGACCGCCTGCGTGGTCTAGTGATAGAGCGTCCGTCCCCGGCCGCGTCATACCAAAAGACGTTGAAAGATTGTACTTGTTGTTACCCTGTCTGGCGCTCGTTTTTAAGGTCCTTAAACAAGGACTGGTCTCCTCGGAGTCAGTATACTGTGTCTGAGTGGGTATTCATGATTCATGTTACACTGCGTCATGGCATCTCAGTCCGGACGACTACAAGCAGGCACACACAAACACACACACACACACACACACACACACACACACACACACACGCACGCACGCACGCACGCACGCACGCACGCACGCACGCACGCACGCACACACACGTACATGCACGTCGCTATATAAGTGCAATAATCTTGAACGCGACGTTAACCTCACCTCACCCATTCGTATGAACGCGTACTGTGTTAAATGCTTTCATAGACATTTGCAGCGTTACCGAATGTATTTCTTAAGTCTTTTGTGAGTTTCAGGAGAACACGACAAAAGTCACCTTGGAGACTTGCCATGTTTTGAGAATGTCATCAACATATCTGAACAGCAACTATTTTATCCTCCCTTGTATTTTAAGCATCTTGCGTATCGGAACGAAACTGGGTCTTCTCTTTTGTATTTTAAACATTCTTTGTATCTGAACGAAAACAATATTTACCTTTTGTATTTTAAGCAAGACCTTTACATACGCCGGGTTTAATATAGAGCATGGAGAGTTGTCTTAAGCAAAGTGTTTTAAGTCCCTGCCCCAGTTTTGTTCAAACTGTGAATGAGATGCGGGAAGACTGCCTCTGTAACAATCAATAGATATACATGTATGCATGTATCAAGATGGGTGGAACAAACATAATGATAGTTGGTTACCGATGGTTTCTTTGATGTAAATCGGGCGTAAATAATAAATGGTACGTATTAAACGAAACTGACGGCCAAGGATGTTTCTGTGTCAGATATTAGTTCTTAAGGAATGAAATCATACTTTTCGAACTCTCAGTGCACTGCGATGAATAAACAGATGTGAACAGTTTTCTTTTAGCCTGTCTGCCCCAAAGATTGGACATCGTGCCTCTGTCAGGACAAGCCGAAACATATCATCACGTTTTCAAATATCCGACCACACTTAATCTTTGCTTTTAAAAGTTCCCTGGGTTTTCACTACATCATCACAACTGGTAGGAATAAATACAAAACGATAACAACAATTTCCATAATCATAAGAAATCGCTACTAAAAGCAGAGCCCATTTACGATTCTGACAATATAAAAACCCGTGTTTATATGAATCACTATCACATAGTGATGATGCCAGGTGTTCACAAAAGGTGATCCTGCCCTACCGATAGCACCCATCATAAACACATGCAAAGGCAAGTCAATTAATCACCTGAAACAACATGGGCACATGTCAATCACAAGGATGCCGTAACGCTGATCAAACAACCTAACACTGGTACCGTGTACAGAAAGGGAAATCCTCTGTAACATGTTACGTCACGTGCTTCTTTAGGCCATCTAGCCTTTGGTTATCGCTCGATGACTTCCTTTAAACCAAGGATACTAAATGAGCGAGCGAATGCGTGACCTAATGTAGGACGCAAGACAAACATGATGCAGGTCGTAAGCGTTTTCTATTTGACAACAATTACACGTTTACTACTAGACAGTGGGACACAGGCAGAATAAGCTGACGCGCCTGTTGGATAAAACTCGGACTTATCGATGGTCCGCCAGAATTTCCGAGTAAATATAACATTTAATTACAATTTCATATTAATGTATGGAAATATTACGTGGTATATGTTGTATTACTAATTTAACTGATTTGAAAGTTAAATGATGTCAGATTTCTTTATTTTCTTATGTTCAGACATTGCTATTCCTGCAACAAATTAGAATTATGTTGGCACGAACATCTTGCAAAATGCTTCGGGCTTGTTACTTTCTCGGCAACAATAACCGAAGCTTGCCACGACTAATCGAATGTATGCCCCGGTTGTCCACAAAGTGTCCTATTTTGACAAATGTTTGATCAGAAGAAATTATCAGTACATTCTCACACATATTATCGATTTCTCATCAAACAGCGAAGATTACAGCGTTCATGCATCTTAATAAAAACCAATGTTGTTGATGGCACTGTTATCGCAGTTGACATCAATGCTGTGTAATGTAGGCATGTAGATAGGTCAACATAGATACAAAAAGCATTAAGTCCTGATTGTTCCGATACAGATCTGCATTTAGTTAACTTGTAAATATCACAAACGAACTAATGTTCGCTTCGCACCCACTTGATTTCCAATCTCATTCAGCGCCATTCCTTACATTCGAAGAATAATGATTAGGCCATTTGCTTGTAAATCTTCAACATGCATGCTATTGATTTATCCGCTTCTGTGTTAGGCAGTGTGGTAGACAGTCGGGGTTCTTTTACTAAAGATAACATTTTTTGCAATCAAAACACGAATGAGGATCAATTTATATGGTCCGATAAATTATTTTGATCAATGGTTAGATGGAAGAAATTATCTTCAAAGAAGCCATCGATGTGGTTCGATGAATATGTCACAAAAATGCAGTTTTAATTCGTTAATTATGCCATCTTTAAATATGATTGAATTACGTATCAAAGAACAAGTGATATGCAATCATTTTAGTGCGAATGTGTCGCGCCTACACGTTGTGTAGTATAAACGAATAAAGTCGTTCCAACATTCAAATAAGAACTTTCAACTGATGTCGCCCGGATAAACAAAGGTTTCCGACAGTTCATTCTGCTCAGAAACGGTCTCTGGGGCTCACAAGTTCCTCAATTTCTCATTTATACACAAGAGGAAATATCAAGAGACTTTTTTACCTTAAATTACTTTTATGTAAATCTATGACGACCATATCGTCTTTACAAGCATAAACAATCGTTGTAAATATGTCATATTTACGTCTTATACCATTACATGCACATGTTTAAAAATATATAATTATAATTTTGTCTTGATTTACAAACGTTTTACATAAATGTATGTCTTAATTTGCAAGCAAGTACATTTTATAAGGTAATCTACGTTGACTGAGTGAAGGGAGCTTGTCGGTATTAACACTATATGGAGAGTTTAACCCGTGAACAAGAGGGCTTAGTTATTAAGCTTTAAGTATCAACATTACTTCATTTCTGTAGGCATCTTTCGCGTTAGGTTGCACAGAACTTCATTGGCGTATTCAGACTTGCATTCGGCCGCACCATTTCGACCGCTGCGTCTTGTGCCAGAAAGCTATGGTCGTGTTTTCGAATTACGGTTGGCCCTGATCATGTTTCGAGGTTTGTCAGCAACATACCCGTGCTATGTTTCCAGGTTTGTCAGCACCATACCCGTGCTATGTTTCCAGGTTTGTCAGCACCACACCCGTGCTATGTTTCCAGGTTTGTCAGCACCATACCCGTGCTATGTTTCCAGGTTTGTCAGCACCACACCCGTGCTATGTTTCCAGGTTTGTCAGCACCATCCCCGTGCTATGTTTCCAGGTTTGTCAGCACCATACCCGTGCTATGTTTCCAGGTTTGTCAGCACCACACCCGTGCTATGTTTCCAGGTTTG